GTGCGGGCAAACTGCACACTTTGCGCGTAGTAGTAGTAGTAGTAGTAGTAGTAGTAGTAGTAGTAGTAGTCGTAGTCTAGTAGAATGCATGTATCTGTGATAGTTTGGGTTTCATTATTGCTCGCTGGTAGTGTTTCTATTTACAATACACCCGGCATGCTGCAGGACCAGGGCTACGGCAATCAGGGCTACGACGACAACCAGGGTGACGCAGCTGAACTGCTGTAAAACCTGTAACGTAGCTGTTCGGTCTATTAGGATCAATTTACGTTCTTGGTTCGACGGTTTTGGACACTTCAGCTTGGGCGGGAAAGGGTTGTGCAAAAGTGGAGGCTGCGGTTTGCTTCCGGGTACTCGGTACTCCGTGGTTGGTGTTTCTCTCGCCCGCTCGGCGCTGAGTGTTTGGTGTTTGTCATCCTCGCCCTTGCACGATACGAAAATTACGATGTTGAGGGTTGGTGCAGTAGGGTTGTAGCATTTTCGGCTCAGCAAATTTTGGCGTCGGTTCGCACGATAGCTGCATTCGCATGATGATTTGGTTCAGTTTCTGGATCCGCAAGAATGGTAGTACTATGACAGTATATGGCGCATCCTATAGGTCACATATTGTATATACTACGACTCAAAGGACTCAACGCTACAATATACTTCTCTATGTCATAGCAAACGGGCTCTTGGCACCATGCAACGCTTCACTCCTGTTGGCTCAGGCTACTGATCGACTTCAGCAAGGAGTGCGGCGACTCGAAACCACTGCGGACGAAAAAGGAGATGCGATCGTGGTTGTACTTGGCAGTTAAACGTGATCCGAAAAGTAAGGCCGGGGGGGGGCACAAATGACGCAGTCAAACTCCCCTGAGGGCTCGATTTAGCTAGATTGGAAGGGCAAGTTCATGAATCATTGAAGGCTTCTTGTTTTGGGGTTCACTTCTAGGTGGTACTTGTCGGAAAGTTCATTATGTCTGAGCATGGCTTCAGGCACCTTCCAAACTCTGACTTTAGAACCCTGAACCCAAAGCTTTGCATCGGTTAAGCACGTCTGGTCGCTCGTGAATCATCCGGGCTTTTGACAGAGTTTCCGCGGCACTTCGACTCGTGCGCGAGTGTGTTTGCAGTTGTGCGACATACCACGCGGGAAAGCCCTCAACCGTCAGCCCCAAAACTCTCAACCCTGAAAGCCGGAGGCCTGGTAAGGAATTCCAGCTGCACGCATCGGAAAAGAGCCCTTAAGAAGCAAAAGAGCCTAAAGCCCTCAAGCCTCTGTCAAATCCGAGTGTGAGTGCCAAGACCCAGAGAGATAACAGTCTCACTCTCAACCGAAACATATTTTGTCCGATCCGCAGGGAGTAGATCTCAAGTCCGCAGATTTTGGGCCTTCCTGCCGCAGACCTCGAAACCATGAGCTCGGCCCAGGCATGCGTAGCTCATGAAGTACCTATAGTCTCCGTTGCAGTTCCTTCTTTGGTTTATTCAAGGTTACACTAAGGATTCTGTAAGCTTACTCCCAAAAGAAACTACAATGGAGACCTGAGGTAGTGAGGAGGTTAAGGAGCAGGATTTGGGATCTTCGGTTTAGGGAATAGGAACTAACGGTGTTTTTGACCCTAAACCCCAAACCCCTAGACCCTCAACCCTTCAGCGGCTTAAGCCCTAAAGCGAACCAGTGCGAGTCGGTTTCTGATCTCCAGATGATGCGAAGTCGAACGTATCTTGGTGACGTCTAACTGGCCTGAGCGGCCTAGGGTTTAAGGTTCAGGGTTGGGGCAGCTTAGGGCTTAAGGTTTCAGGGTTTAGGGGTCAGTTAGCGATGATTGCAGGTCGTAGTCTGGCTTGACTTGAGTCCAGTAGGAAAAAGGGGGTCGGATAACACGTTCTGGGCAGAGGGGTCTTCCGGGCGAGGAGGCAAGGCAGCTCGCTGCAAAGAGGGGTCAGTTAACCGTCGCTTTGGTGAAATGCAGCTAGAAACTTGATCCCCACGTGGGGAGTTTCAGAAGTTAAGGGGCCATGATATAGACCCCACGTTGAGAAACAGTAGGACCGCGTAAGACCGGGGTCATAAGCGCCGACACCTGAACCCCAAACGGACAAAAAATAAGCCTCAACCCAGCAAAACTATCCCAACTAATTGTTTGAACAAGCCAGATTGCAGCCTTTAGGTTGTTACTTGTTCTTTGACAAGGGATGAAAGCCATGACCTGTGGTAGATGCAATTTGGGGATTTCAGGGAGTGAAGCTGTGTGGCGTGTTTTTAGGGAATGATCTGCGCCTATGTGTAATTTCGTTACTTCGGCCGTGTTTATGTCTTCCAGCAGGAAGTCCTGGACCAGGTATCCACAGTATCCCCAGGGCATGTAACTCTAAGCCTTACCTTGAGAAGTCCTGAACCCCACACATGGCAAGTGGCGTTGTGGCTCAGTTTCCGGCTTGGGTACTTGAGCCTGTGTATGTGTGATGCAGTCGTGTGTTGCCTATTGATTATTCTGCGAGCGTGAGAGGCGAAACATTCATGCTCTTTGAAAAGAAGAGGAGCCAAAAAGAAGACGGCATCGACCGAAAACTGACCCTCTCTGAACCCTCGCTCCTACACCTGGGACCCTAGATGAGGCTAGAGGCTAGCAAATTGTTATAAAGACCCTACCTCAAGTACCTGATCAACATGAATCCCCAATATGTGTTTCCACAATTATTCTATTATCTAAGCCCAAGAACCTGATTGGTCAGTACGGACCTTTACTGGGTAACGTCCCCAAACCCCACACCAGCCGAAACCCACGCCTCTAAAATCAATCCTTATAGCCAAGATCCTACGAAGATCCTATGAAGCCCTATAACACCCTTATACTACAAACTGCTGTGATTCCCCTACAGCTAAGTTCAGGAATTCCTGTAATGGCGGTGCCTAGTTGTGGGGGCTGAAAACGTTGTAAAGATCCTATGGAAGCCCTACACCGGCCCGAAACCCGAAACCCCATAAAGATCCAATGGAGGTGTCTAAGAAGAGGAAGTTTGTGGCTGACGGTGTCTTCAATGCAGAGCTCAACGAATTTCTGGCCCGCACACTGGGCGAGGCCCGGGAGTCGTCGGGTTTTCCTTCATGCCTTGCCATGTGAGAGTTTCCAAAAATGAGGGGTACCTTGTTTGGGGTCCTTATAATAAGGATCCTACTATTTAGGGTACTATTTTAGGGTCCCCTATTTTCGGAAACCTAGGGCTCCTAATTTTAGACTTCAAGCCTTAAGCAGAAAGGCCGTTACATTGTTACAATCACACCCAAACCCTAAACCCTAAACCTGAAAAAAGGGGGCCCTGGAGTTCAGCATTGGATCCGCGATCCCCAACTTGGCAACCCCTACACCCCAATCCCAAACTGTTCTCGGAGTTGCCCTGCGATGCGGGCTTCGGCCTTGCTGAGTAGGCGCGGGAAAAAGCCCCGACCCCTTAACCCTAAGCCAGAACCTTCGCCAGGCTGGTCCCAGTTGTGAGTGCTGAAACCCTAAACCCTAACCCTCAAAACCCCCTCAAGCGCGGCTTGCTGAGCTGGGTGGGTGGGGAAAAAAATATATTTCCTACTTCTAACCCCACTATAACTACTCATGAACCTCTAAGTAGTCACCTTTTTCAATAATTCAGAGCAGAGGCCTGAGAGAAGGAAGCCTCCGTTTAGAGTCGAAACCCTGTATGCCCCAAACACCTACAGCCCTAAACCCCCAAAGCCCTGATCTCCTGCCTGTAGCTTGAGCCCTCAACCCTAAACCCTAAACCTAGAGCTTAGACCCGAAAATTCGCCAGCGGTTTGATCTTTGCATAGCAAGGCGGTATAGAACCCGTCTAGACCTCCTATAAAGATCCCCCAATATAGATATTGATATATAGATCCCCCTCTAGATCCCCAATGGACCCTTTGTAAACCCTAAACCCTAAAAAACCCTAAAAAACCCTAAACCCTAAACCCTTAAAGATCCCTTTTAGAGCGTTGGAAACAGGATGGATATGCTGGTGTCGAGGCAAGGAGGGCCTTCAGACGCAGGTGTTTGGTTAGGTGTCTAGGGCTTAGGGTCCTTGGGTTTAGGGTTTGGGGTTGGGTGTGAGAGCTGAACTTCTGTAGGCTCAGACATTCAGGCGATTGCACAAGCCCTTATGCAAAAAGGGTTGGGTCTAGGAAGTTTTGAGGGTACTTCATGGAGTAATTAGGGGTTTAGGTCTTGCAGCGGGTAGTTTTGGGGGTATTTCTTGTGGTACTTAAGGCTTCCAGGGGTGTAGGGGGTACGCTGGAGGACTTAGTGTTTGGGTTTTTGGTGGGGTAATCAGAATCATGGCGCGATTAGGATTGGGGCCTTCCAGAAGGCAATTGGGGCTTGTCAAGGGGTGTCCAGTGTAGATTCTGCTGCACCGGCAGTTCGATCATGCCTGGAAACAAAGTGTAGAGTTCTTTGATCCAGGTTTTGTTGGAAGCTTGTCCTGCTTTACATTGAGCTTACGGAGCATAGATTGCTTTATTCCCGCTCTGTGCTTGTTCTGAACACATTTTCCTTCAATCTAGCTGGAGGTTCTTAACACAAGTTCCCACTGCGGCCGTTGCTTTGCTCGCAAGCGCAGGTGCGCGTGACCCCGATCCGAACCGAGATCATCATCCGAGCTACCAGGTCTGCCGCAAGCATGATGGATCAGACGCATCTCTCCGTAGTCTACCCTAAACCCTAAACCCTAAAGCGGGGTTTAGGGTTTAGGGTTCAGGGTCTACGTTTAGAGGATCCGTAATGGGAGGTAGTCCAGGGGGAGGATAGTAGGGATCAGGCCATGTTTTGGTTCAGGGCCTGAGGACGAAGCAACGCCGTACGATCCTGAAGAGAGGGAATCCAAGATCCCCTAGAAACCTCAATTTCCGCTAAACCCGAAACCCTTTAAAACTCCTGGATTGTCCGAGTGTGAGCGCCGAAACCCTTTAAAACCCTAAACTAAGGACCAACGAACCTAAAACCCATCCAGAGCACTCCAAGACACTGAACCGAGCCCTGGTCTCTATGCTAGGCTGAGAAACTCAGAGCTCGAATAGCTGCAGCTCCTACACACATCGTTCTTGGAGGTGCTTCGCCTGTGACTGCTCCTGCTCTGGCTACTACTCCCCCTCCTTCCGCTGCTTCTCTTTCTGCTTCGGCTACTGCTACCGCTATCGCTACTTCTACTGCCGCTGGCGCTATCGCTGGCTCTATGGCTTTCAGTACGATTGTCACTACCTGAACCCCCCAAAGTAGGTAAAACAATGGCCCAACACGCATAAAAGGCCATTATTCTACATACTTGTGGGGTCCAGGTAGTGATTGCTTCTGCAGAGGACTCGCGAAGTCCTCGGCGAGAAGGGCCGACGCATTCGAGAGCTGACGGCCCTGGTTGCTCCTGCGGCACTTCTGGTTCGTCTAGTGGTTATAATATATATATATATATATGTGTGTGTGTGTGTGTGTGTGTACATATTCATTATACAGGGCTGAGGGATCAGGGTTTCAGGGTCCATTTGAGGCTTGTGTTTTAGTTTTTCACGGCTTGGGGCTTCAGGGTTTAGTATTTGGGTTCAGCGTTTGATTCAGGGTTCAGGGGGTGATGCACTGATGATTCGATACGCCACAAGGTGCAGAAGCGTTTCGGTTTCCCGGAGAACAGCGTGGAGCTCTTCGCCGAGCGTGTTGAGTGGCTTCGAAGCACCTTGAAACCCTATCCCTAAAAGCCCTAACCCTAAACCCTAAACCCTAAACCCTAAACCCCTAAAACCCTAAACCCTAAACCCTAAACCCTAAACCCTAGACCCTATCCCTAAAAGCCCTAAGCCCTATCAGTCTTAATTTTGAACTGGAACCCTAAAGGCCCCATAGACCTTACAGCCCTAAGCCCCAAAAACCCGAAAAACCCTGAGTTCCCCAATACTGCCAGCAGCCATGGCCAAAGGAATCGCGCAAGCTGCGCCATGGCCCAGTGCGAGTCTCTCCGCCCTGGGCTGAGTGACGGTTTAGGGTTTGGGGTTTGGGGTTATGATTTAGGGTTTAGGGTTAAATGTGATTGTACAGTTTTACTAATTCTGTGCATTGTGGAAGTCAGTGTTCAGGCGATTGCACTTGTCCTGATGCAAAAAGGGTTATGGTTTAGGGTTTAGGGGTATGGTTTAGGGTTTCGAGTTTTAGGCTTTTGTGCTTCAGCTTCAGATGTTTCAGAAATTTAGATGCCCAGGGTATCCGCCCCAAAGGCAGCTCTGAGAACCAGGCGGGCATATACAAGTCTGTGCAAAAAGAGGGATTTCAGAGCTTCACGAGCCCTGGGGAGTTGGGCTTGTTGAGGGTGGACCCTGGGGAGTGGGGCTTGAAGTTGTTATTGAGGGTTTAGGGCTTTCAGGAGTTTAGGGTCTAGGGTTCGGGAGTTTAGGGTTTAGGAGGAGTCTAGGGTTTCGGGACGTGCTCGGGTCTAGCATGAAGTTGGGGCCTGCGCTTCAGACCTTCGGCAGTAGGTTTGGGGTTCGGGTCTGTGAGGGAAACTCAGTTCCACAAAGGTACACTTGTTCCTGATAGGGTTGTGTTCATGTCGACCTTTAGCTACGAGAGCTCTTCCTACTTAAACATGAAGAAGCATCCAAAACAATCAACTAAGTACAAGCAGAGCAACCCGAAGACCTCGTATACGTATGCCGCAATGTGCCTCTTTTTGAGGGTAGAAAGACCCTACAGCACTCTCACAGGGGCCAAGAGTGGGTCCCTCTGTAATTATAGCATAATGATCATAATGGGCCCCGAAACCCCATTCTACTTATTCAGGCCCCTACAGTAAGCCTAAACCCTTAACCCTAGACTATCCACCCTGCAATGCGGGCACGTCCTTGCTAAGTAGGAGGCAAAAAAAGCCCCTAGGATCTAAGCCCCTCTATGCCATGCTTTTGCCGACCGCAAAACCAGGATTCAAGCTGATCGGTGGCCTGGCCGTGCGCCGCGCCTGCTATGGTGTCCTCAGGCCGGAGCAAACCGAAAGCCAAATTTCAGGAGTTTAGGGTTTAGGGTTTAGAGTCCCTAAACCCCATATAGAACCATATATATGCCTAAACCGCAACTTCCCAGAGTCTTGAATCATAATTCTATAAACACCATAACCCTAGAACACTGTTACACGAATCGAAAAGTGTACTAACACCCCACCCTCAAAATCCACCGGAAGCTTGAGTCTCAACATCATGGCTGTGTCACAGTTTGCTTCTTAGATTTCGTGGGTACTTAAACCCAAGAAGCAATAGAAAGATAAATTTGTCGTACTATCCGAACCATGGAGTAGAACCCTAAACTCTAAACCCTAGGTTCATCATGGAGAACGGTGCCAAGGGCGTGGAGGTCATCATCAGCGGCAAGCTCCGGGCACAGCGTGCGAAGGCCATGAAGTTCAGGCCCAGCTCTTGCTCAGTTGCTCGCCAAGTTAGGGGCCTTATCAAATGGAACAAGGGTTTTGGGTGGCTTTGGGACATAGTATAAGTATACTACAGTTCTTGTTGGAACTCTAAGTTACCCTAGGGAATGGGGATTTATTGAAGCTTCTGAAATTTGGGCTTTGCCTTTCCCTTCATTCTGGAAATGCTGCGCCCTGTGGCATGCCTTATCCCACGTATAACCCTGTCACCATGTAAAGATGAAGCAAGCGGTTACCCCAAGGTTTGGTTACCTCTATTCTGGTTACTCCGCGGTGATAATTCAGCCTTTGTTCATGTTCATGGGCTGTGATCGGTTGTGTCTTCTGGATGTTTAAATCAGAGGTAACCAAACCTTGGGGTAACCGGGTTGCGTATATTAGAAGAAGCCACACTCCTACAACAGTGCCCCTTTCAAGGGACTTGTTGCAGCTTAAGGTCCACCCAGAAACCCCAAAATCATGCAACACCTGGACCTGGAATCCGCAGTCATGAGCAGCGTACCTTTTAGCCGCTGACGCTCTGCGCAGGCAGGGCTATCTGATCTCCACCGGCGAGCCCAAGAGGTGCGCCTGGCAAGAGTTGCAGCAGCAGTGCAAGAAGTGGTGTCGCAGCAGTGAGAGTCGTCATGGTCGTCGTGGTTGCGCCCAAAGCTACCCCCACCAGCTCTCTATTCTACTGCCAGGACTAGTATGAGCTGCTGCATGGGCTCTTGGGGTGGGCAGTGGAGTCTGTACGAGTGAAAGACGTTGAAGATGAGCTCTTGGGACCCTTCCTGGGCAAGATAATGTATCCTCAGCTTCTTGGCTTTGAGTTCCCAGGTTTCCGGCTGCTTATCCTGCAAGTGAAGTGCGGGAACTTTCTCGTACTGAGCCCTTTTCCTAGGTAGTATTAGGGAGACCCTTAAAGGGGAACCCTGCTTAACCCTACTTTTGGCTCTCTTAAAAGAGACCTTATTGAGTGGGTCTATATTTGCAAGGGTCCCCCTTATCCTAACTCCTATCTTTATAGGATTCATGCTCTGGCAAGGTGTAGGTCCATAATTAGGAGGTCATAGCCGGGGTTACATGTTACATGTCTAGGGTATGCCTGCAAGCTTTCAGTATGTTGTGCTACCGCGACGTTGCATGTTGAGGCTTAGAGATGTATCGAAGGATCAGCAACAGTTCTCCATTGAGACAAACAGTAACCCTTAGAGTAGTCACTATTATCCCCTAAAGGATCCTGATTGGAAACCATACAGGAACCCTTAAAAGGATCCCTCAAAGATCGACCCAGAGATGGTTGCGAAGTTCCATGCCAGGCACTACATCTCTGAGGCCGTGCGCCACGTGCAGATGCGACAGGGCACGATCGGTATCAAGGCCCCTGCTTCTTGTGGAGGTGTAAGAGTCTTAAAGAGAAAGAGAGAGAGAGAGAGAGAGAGTGTGCGTGTGTGTTTTCAGGGCTCATGGATTATGGCTCTTGAGGATGCGCAAAGCAGTTTTTAGGAGTTTATGGCTTTCGGATGAAATGATTATGAAGGCCATAGCAGACTCCAGCCCCATGCCATGGCACGGCAACTTCAAAAGCCGAGAACCTGTTCCATTCATTGCCTTACCCTACCTCAAACTACCAAAGCCTACTTTTTTATGTTCTTATTATGCACCTTGCTGCATATTCCTACAGAAACGAGGGTTGTGGTAGTTGTGGCCTTTGCAATGAGGGCCTACTTGAAGGTTCATGGGTAGTCATAAGTGGGCCTGTTATTTAAATTCCCTAGTATGGGTAATAACTGTAGTTAGCCTACTTATAACTCCGCTTATAACTACCCATGAACCTCCAAGTGGGTAATTATAAGTAGGGTTGCAAGTCCCCTAACATGGGGTTTTAAATATAGCTACCCTACTTTTAGCCCCACTTGTTATAACTACCCATGAATCTGCAAGCAGGCTTGCACCATGCAGGAGCACGGTGGCAGTCTCATGGGGTGTCACATGAGTTCACCCACAAACCCAGGTGGCTTGCCCTGGTAGAGTCCACAGGGTGAGCACAATGTAGGCTGTTTTGACATTGCCTGGTACTCATACGTACTGTTGTCAGTTTTGGTCTAGTCCCAGGCACGTGAGTAAGCACAACTGCGGCTGTTCATACAGTTGGCTCCCAACCGCTAAACTCTAAACCCTCCCTAAATCCCAGATCCCAGACCCCCCTAAATCCCAGACCCTAGACCCACAAAAAAGTCGGAAGCCCCAAAACCGTGCAGGTGAAGATCATGATGTCCCACGACCCAGAGGGCAAGATGGGGCCGAAGATGCAGCTGCCCGATAACGTCATCGTGCATGAGCCGAAGGCCGTATGGCTTTAGGGCACTGGAGTTTCCGAAAATCAGGGGTTCCTTATAACAAGGCTCCTACTATTTAGGGTACTATATTAGGGTCCCCTATTTTCGGAAACCACCATATGGGGCGTCAGCGATTAGAATCAGAATAGGTTTTTGTGGTAGATGATAGTATAAGTATGTGGGGACGTTTGCAAGGGAATAGTATTGCCTTGAACTATTTTCATTGTAAGTGTCGGTGAAGATGCACTCCATGCATTCAATGCTGGACGCAGGCAGGGGACAAGAGGAAACCTCCTTTGTTCGACCATCTTCCGATCTATGGTTTAGGGCACCACCGAGATCGATTCTAGGAGTTTGGTGCAGTCATGAGCATCCCGGCAACGAGGAAGTAGAGGAGCTACAAGTAACACCGCTACTGCTCACCATTACTGTTGCAGGTGCTTTGTTTTCAGCATGTCTCAACTTGTCCGCCGCAGTCTGCCGCAGGAGGAGGCACCTCCCATGATGCCAGCAGAGGACACGCGCTTGTACAAATGATTAATCATGCTTGTTACGGGTTTTTACCAGGCTCAGAATAATCGCTCCTGGACCATAGCCTCTAGCATTGAAAAGCCCCCCGCTAAACCCTAAAACCTTACCTTAGCCCCGAGTAACCTACCTTGGTCAGGACTTATATAAGGGAATCATAACAAGGAGCCGCAAGGTTTCTTAGGGCCCAGGTAAACCCCCAAACCGTAACCGACCAGATCGGAACAAGGACCAGGGCTACGGCGAGGGCGGCTACGACAACCAGGGCCACGCAGAAAAGATAAGCAACACATGGAGGAATGATACACATAGTGTTCGGTTGGTACCGGAGACAAAGTTGTATGGAGACTCACTATATGCCCGGTTTACCTGTTCCGCCTGTTGCTTTCTGTGCAAGCTTCGAAGATTGAGCAGCTAGGGTGTGGGTTAAGAAGAAGCTGGGGCCCAGAAGCGTCTTGGGTTTAAGGTTTATGGTGTTTAGGGCTTTAGGGGTTTAGGAGCTTTGCGGCTTAGGGGTTTAGGACTTTAGGGGTTTAGGGTTTTAGGGAACTTATGTTTCATACTTGATGTGGGATATGGCTTGTGACGCCCTAGCTATTGTGCGTCTTCCTAGGGGTCCAACAAACCGCAACAGCAAACTCCTTCAGGGCTTGCACGCCATAGCCTACGATTTTGCTCTGAACTCTCGTGAACAGTTGATGACCAACATTATGCCTCAGGGTTCCTGACAATTATGCCACACTGCCCCAGAACCCATTCTAATTCTTGAAGCCCCTGTACAGCTCACCGCTCTTCCTGGTTTCAATGCGTTTGGACGAGGACCTTCCAGGTTTTGGGGTGCGGAGTTCAAGGCCGCATGGTTTAGGGTTTGTCACACCAGCAGTGGAAGGGTTTAGGGTTTAGGGTTTATCCTCAGTTTCATGAAGCTGCTCAGGCAATATTTGGGGTTTAGGGATCCGGATCAAGGGATTAGGCACCTTCCACGCCTGCTGCACCTCCTGCTCTCCCTCTCCTTGGCAGCTGCCATCCAAGGCTTCTGATGCTTCAAGCTGACTTGATAAGGACACAGTGCGGACGAAAAGGATCGTTGCGCGTGGCCGAGTCTGGTAAGCCATAAACCCTATAACAACCCGGTAGCAACTTATGGGGGCAGTACGCAGGGAGATTTTAAGAGTTCATAAGACTTAGATAGTTTCAGAAATGAACGCCCGAGATAGCAGAGTTTGTGAGGCTCACGCCTTAAACCTTTACCCCCTTACGGCCATCCGCCCAACCGAGTCGAAGTAGAAACACGGGCGATGTCACCACTTTAGTCCAAGAGCAGTCACCTAGACGATGAATCATAGTATCATCAGCAGTACGTAAAAGCAAAAGCTCAGAAATCACTGCACATGTACCCAACGAGCCCGATACCCACCAAGTCAGCAAAAAAACATACCCTGAATCGTGATGAGAAGTTTAAGCTTATTTCTACTAGTCATCTATCACGATCAGTAGTCTATAAGTCTACTCCTCGTAGTAATAATCTAAGAGAGTAAAACCGTGGAGGCTCTCCAGAGGCCCTAAGCCCTAAACCCTAAACCCCAAACCCTAAACCCTAAACCCCTAAAACCCTGAACCACCCTAAACCCTAAACCCTAAACCCTAAACCCTAAACCCTAAACCCTAACCAGGACGGTTGCAGCTTTCGCAGCGCCTGGCCCGAGCAGAAGAGTCGTAAACACGAGGAGAAACCGGAGGTCCCCGGAGAGAGCCCAGTACCCCTTAATTAAGTAGGGTTTAGGGTTAAGGGTTCAGGGTGAATACCGTAAACACAGGGGCATTATAAAATTATGTGGTTTAAGGCTTAATTAAGTAGGGTTTAGGGTTAAGGGTTCAGGGTGAATACCTTAAACTATAGGGGCCTTAGAATTATATTATGGCTTATTAAGGGGTTTAGGGGTAGGGTTTAGGGTTTAGGATTTAGACCCCGAACCCTAAATTCCGGCACCACATAGAAGGCCATAAAATCCCAAGCCGCCAGAAGGCCCTTGTGCAGCTTTTCTAGCTGCACTTTGAGTTCATAAGTTCGGGGGGAAACCCTTTCAAAACGAACTAATGCCAGAAAACGGTGTCGCAAAACTGCCAGTCCCACACCCTAAACTTTACCCTAAAGCAGCCCTCTCAATAAACTAGGAAACTTAAATGGCCCTTCACCCCCCTGTAGCCCAAAAAGACTACCTTTTGCAGGAACTGTATAAAAGAAGCCATCATGAAGGAACCCTACAGAGGCAGGTTTTTTGGGCCATAGGTAATGTAAGCTCAAGGCTTACAGCCGTGCACCCTCGCAGGTGCCAGAGGCCTCCGATCTAGACAAGGGGCCGGGGAGCCTAGACTTGGGTTTTGTTGCTTAGGGTTTTGTGCATTATGGGTTTAGGTCTTAAGGTTTTTTGGTGTTTAGATGTTAGGGGATTTGGGTTTGGGATGGGTTTAGGTTTCAGGGGTTAGGGCTTGGGTTTCTGGGTTCAGGACTTGGGGGTTGGGTTGTGGTTCAGGGTTTATGGATCGTTAAAGGGTCCAGGCTTCTATCAGTCCTGTGGCTTAGGACCCCGGCGTCCATGTTGAAGGTTGGACTCTCGACAACCCTAATCCCTAAACCTGAAACCTTAAACCCTAACCCGCAGATCATGTTGAAGGCATTGGGGGATGGACTTTATACGGCTCGTGGCTCGTGCATGTTTGCTGGCAAGGGTTCCCAGTGCTGGAGGGGTTCAAGCAGTAGTCCAGTAGGTAACCTTTAACCCTTCTTTGGGGTACTATAGGGTTTCGGGTCTGGCGTTTAGGGTTTATAGGGCTTGTTACTATACTCGTTATATAATCCCACAGGTCAACCTTTAGTCTAGTTCCACGATAAACTGGACAAATACGTTAGGATTTGTGCATTAACAAACCTTGGGCTCCAACAAGCACAAAGCAGGTAGCGCAGTCTGCATATAATTAACGTCGTTTTAGAACACTTTTCGCACACTTGTATAACCCGATAAGACCCTCGTTAGATCCCTGTGAAAGGCCGCACTTTATAGAAATCAGGAAAATTCTGGCCATGCCAAGTTCAACTCGCTTCAATGAGCCCTTCAACCCCTAAAACAACTAAGCCTTGGAAACCCTTTACCCCGAAGCGCGAGCCATCAATCACTCAATCCCCCTATCCCTCAAAACACCCTCAGTCCTGAAACCTAGCTGACCTAGCTTTTTCTAAGGGCCGTTTTTTTAAGGTTGTTCAGAAATGTCTGTGTTCTTAAACGTGAAAAGCCCGAATCTCAGATTCTGAGTAACCAGTACTGCTACCCGTAGCCCCCAAAGCGTACCCTTCAAAGTACATACACACATATATATATATATACATATATATACACACATACACACATACATACATACATACATACATACATACATACATACATACATGCATACATGCATACATACATACATACATACATACATACATACATACGTACATAGGTACGTACATAAATACATACATACATACATACATACATACATACATACATACATACATACATACATACATATTAATATATATATATACATACACATACATATGCATACATATCTGTTTGTGTATACAAAACGAAGGGTTCTCCAGGGTTCAGGTAAATTCCAAAACCCCAGCTTTGCAGCTACAACCTAAGCACAAGCCCTGAACTCCAAACCCTACCAGCTGCACTTAAAGGATCATGGGACTTAGTAAGTTTGGTTATAACTAAGGTAACTATACTTATAACCCCAATCAGGGGACTTATAACCTTACTTACTAAGTCCCATGATCCTCCAAGTAGGCTCATGGCACTTGGGCTCCTGGCCTCAAGCTGCAGCGCCGGAATCTTGAAAGCGGGGAGTGTTTTTTTGGTGCTGCTAAGGATATAGGGCGAACATCACAGAAAACGTTTAGGGTTGAGGGTTTCGTGAGGGTTCTATAAGGGTCCCAGAAGAATTCCGCAATAAGGTTCTCCGTAATTTAGCCCTAAACCCTTCAACCCTAAACCCTAAAAGAAGACCGAGCTGCTGGGACTGGCCTCGTTTGGCTTACGGTATATTCCTTAGGTACGGTGCTTTTGGAGATTTTGAGGAGTTGCAGGAGTTTTGTTTGGTGCTTGGGGCTGTGCAGAAGCGAGGCTGCTCTGGGAGGGTTTTTTGGGTGAAGGGCTTAGGGTTTTTGCACTTTATGCGGAGGCAGTAGGTTGTATCTATATGCCTAGGGATGAGACATACAAAACATTACGAAACCCTAAATCTGCCCGGACCCGAAACAACTTGCATTTCTAGTGGCTTCAGTAAGGAGATCATAATAAGGAACGGAACGAAGGCCATTTTTGAGGGTCCGGGTAAACCCTAACCTTGAGTGGCACGTCCTAGTTGGCGAGACCCAGACTCGATGTGGGTGGTTCTCTAAATTAGGGTCCCTTTTTGGGTCCCCAAAACCCTTATAAAAAGGACCCTAAGGACCCCAATTTAGAGAACTGCCCGATGTACTGGAGGCCTAAGACTTGTCTCCTCAAAGGATCAGAGGACATAGTAACGAGGGCTATAGGTAAGATACCTGTACTTGTATGTACCAACTTATAACATCTTGTAACCTTAACCCGTGGGACGCACAACCCTACTTGCCATAAATCCCACCGCCTCCGTAAGCCCTGAAACCCTAAGCCCTACTTACTATATGTCCCATGGTCCTCCAAGCATGCTAAGGCGGGACCTTCGGCACCTCCCCGACGAGAGGCGCAAGGCAGCGCGCGTGGCATTCGTGGGTTCGGAGTAAGTTTGTTGTTGAACAATTTCCCTAGGGCTCCAGGTGCTAGGTTACTGACCAGATATTATGTAACCCAGTAACGTCTTAGCTAGCCAGCTAAGTAAGTAGAGCCCTAGGGTATCTGCACAGGGATATGAATGGTTTATGCAAAATGGTTTAGGGCTTAGGCGTTCAGGGGTGCAGGGTTCAGGGTTTTAGGTTTGGGCGGGTTGAAAGCTTAGTTCGGTGTTCCGGCTTGAACTTCCGTATACCGTCACCTAGGGAGGCAGTGCGTCGTTGCTTCAGATGCATACCTGTGCCGGGTGATATGGGGCGGTGCTGCTTCTGCTCCTGGGCAGAGCTTGTCACGACAAATTTCCACAATTACGAACATGCCGGTTTTTCCAACTCATTCTTCCAGCCCTACGTGCATGGACCTCAGCTCCAAATATTGTCTGTGTCCACACTCAGCACTTGCGGCAGTCTCTTGGCAGGTGGTCCGCAATGGCACCAGTTAAAGATACGAGCCACCCTTGCTTGTCAAAACTGATCCTGATGCCACATGCCTGATGTGTGGTGCCTAAATGAACCAGATCTGGCCTCTTACGGGCACGCTGTCAAAGCAGCCGCACCAGCTTCGTGACAGCACCTGTTAAGGCGCAGCATCGAAGAGTGGACAGTGTCAAAGTTTGATGTCAAGCCTGTATGTCGACACACAGTGCAGCCGTGCATCCTATATCATACGAGACAGTTCATGTTCATGCAAACCGGCCCCCTCACCTAAACCCTCCCTACTATAGGGGCCTAAATAATCACCAAGACTATTGTGGGGGGTTCCGTATTATAGGTTATAGTATCATATACCCCAAAGCCCTATTCTAATTAGTATGGCCCCTATATTAGCCAATCCTACCAATGTCTGCGGGAGAAGCTCGCAGGATGGCATAGAGCTAGAAACCTGTTACCGGTTGTGTCACAAAGGGAGCTAAATAATTACCAATATTGATTGGGGGGTTCTTATTATAAATGTAGTTTAATGGGCCCCAAAACCCTATTCTAATTATCAAGGCCCCTATATTATCTCTGACTCTCTGACAGGAGCGCGGAAGCAGCACCCATCGATCGAGAATGAAGAGGTCGACGAGACTGCCGGGCACCAAGCTGAATAGAATAATACCAAGGGTTCCTTATAGTGTAAGGTATAATGTACACCAAAGCCCTATTCTAGTTGTTAAGGCCCCTGAGCAGATGAGGGATGTTTTAAACTACTGTTGATCAACCACACTGCTCCCCTAGGCACCTGCATCCTCGAACCTAGTCGCAGTAAGCCCTATAACAAACCCTATACAGGATTTCCGGTCGGATGTAGCAACCCTTATATAAGCCCAAGCCGTCAAGGAACCCGATGATGGGATTCTTTCGGTTGTGGGAGTTCAATACCGCGGCCCTTGGCGAGGTTGAGGTGCGACGCGTGTCGCCCGAAGAGGAAGAAAGGCCCGGCAACCTGAAATCCTTGAAACCTGAGGGCTTGATCATTTTGGCATTTAGATGTCGAGCGTTTGAGGTTTTAGGATTTAGGCATTTCCGGCGATTGCACACTTCCTGATGCAATAAAGGGCCTAAGGCCAAAGTTTAGGGTCTGTCGTTTGGGGGGCAAGAAGCAGAAGATGCGGCTTCTAGGGTTTAGCCCCAACTCTAACCGCAAAGGTTTCCGGCCGTTGCGGTTCGGGCTCTGTGCCCATGTAAGAGAGAAAAAGTCGAACTACAAAGACCGGACAACCAAGCCACATCTACTTGTAGAATAGAAAAGAGACCAAACATAGTCATCATTAAACCCTAAACCCTGAACTCTAATTAAAAATGGCTACAGCATGCAGCATTGGCTGGCTCCAGAACTCTGGAGCTGTCGAGGTCCAACCTCGGCAAGATACGAAGCCCGAAGACTTAACTCCTCTACCGACCCTAAACCCTAAACCCTGAACGCCTCTACCCCAAAGCCCAGAGACCCCACACAGCCGACCTCAAGGCAGGTTGCGATAGTACCACGTTGGATCCGCTTGACATTGGGTTTGCAATGCTTTGCAGATGAAAGGTCTCACAGGCCCGTGCACTTGTGAATTTCGTAGTACGCACATCGGCTCATGACCAACCCCGTGCAAACTGCTGGCTCATCCCTGCAGATTGACCCTAAATCCTTGATAAGCCCCATGGCCATGTATTATTGACTCAGCGCTTCGGTTGCCGAAAGCATGCCGCTGTTGTTCTTTGCGGTGGCATCCACCTCTACGAAGCATCCATCCCAGGACCCTTGTTCTAGTCTGGCACTCCACCCTGGATCTGGCGGTTGGACGTCCGCACGCGCCTGCTCCTACCCACAGGAGATCTTGCTGCAGCTGCCGCGAGGTGCCGAAATTCACGAAGTTGAGGTCGCAGCCCCCTTTTCTCTGGCTCCACGCGCCGTGGACGTTTTCCTGAGTGCCGGAAGTCGCGAGGATCGGTTGGCCGGCAATCCAAACTTTCAGCACGTTTGCTGCTTGGAGCTCCGAGGGGTTGGGAGCAAGCCCTCTCGATTGCTAAAGGCCAAGCACAAGTTCTTTGGCCTTTGCACCGGCCAGGTCAGGTTGCTGATCCACGAGCCTGTTGCATCCGGCTCCGAGAACCCTTACAAGCAGGTCTCTCTTGCAACTGTAGACCTATGGGGCTACGAGGATGTCCTTCCGGAGACCTCCGGGCCACTGCCGCTAGATCTGGGGGAGCATCACGAGGACATTGCTTCCGTGCTCATGGAGTTGGGTGTTCCCCTGAACCTGGTCCCAGTCTCGGACGGCTTCCAGCCTGCCGTCGCCGATGCAGCGACGTGTTCTCTCATCCGTGAGCTTCGGGATAAAGAAGACCAGCTCATTCGAGAGAGCAAGTTCGGGGAGGCTCAGAAAGTCGCCCAGCACGTGCAGCAGCTTGACGCGCTTGGGCAAGAGCTGCAAAGTTTGCTGGAGAAGCGGGAGATGCTTTCCGCCACTCGAGATCTGAGAGGTCTGGAGCAATTGGCACCAGAAATCGCTACTCTGGAGACAAGGCGACTGCACATGGCAGCACTCTACGAGACCGATTGGTGGATTTCTGCCATGTCGGCAGGTTTCGGGCAGGCGAAAGACAGTCTGGCCATACCCACGCACAGTGCCTTGACGCCATCTGCATCAGCCACCTCCACCCAGCTGGTAGCAGGCAGTGCCGACCGCGGTAATGAGAGTCCCATCGAACACCCGCAGAGCGAAGCTTCGCAGGTTGTCGCGGATCTGGCTCCAAGTGAGGAGCCTCCAACGACGGACGGCTGAGCGATCGTAAAAGGATTCATTCCGGTGCCTTTCACTCAGCAGTTTTATGGTCTGACAAGGGACAGACTATCCCTGTAGCGTGGTTTCGGCATTTTTGTTGCAACGGTGGTTCCTCATCGCTTTCCGTGCTAGTGCTAGCTGCGGCTTACTATAAAGGCCTACGGACTCCCCTGAAAACCTTGACAACGCCCTTAAGGACAGAAAGCCTATAGAAGCTATATTCTTCTTCCCTTTGTGCTCCCAATAGAACTATATAGTCATCGTATAGTATAACCGTATAACCCCCGNNAAAAAAAAAAATCCTGTAGGCGCTACTGGGCTTCCATGGCTGGCGGCCTCGATCTTTTCAGCGGCCCGGGTCTAAGGTCCGGTCCTTTAGGTCTTGCTTGGAGGTTCACGGGTGCCCATAGGCTCCGTTCTAGTTCCTTTTTGGGATTACGATTACCTTTCAGGATCCCTTCATAGAAACCACAAAAAGAACTAGCATGGAGCCTATAGTTAGCTATAAGTGCGGTTATTTCAAGTAGGGTAACTATATTTGTTATTCTTAGTAGTGGACGGCCCGTTAGCTACCCATGAACCTCCAGGGAAGGAGGGTTGCTTTCAGGGTTTAGGGCTTGAGGGCTTGAGGGTAATTTAGAGAGGTTTTGTTGAAGGGCTCCTCATAGACAAGCCTCAAAAAGGTGATTGCCCTTAAGAGGGTTCCTCAAGCAGGGCCCTCTGTTGTGTTGCATAAGGGTTCCTGTAAGGTTCAGGCTCATACTGTTAAAGCCGCTGTTCAGGAGGCAAGCATATGGGGGCCCTGAATAGCTGGAATAGGGTTACTGTAAGACTATAATCGCTCCCGTTAGGATTATGTACTGTAAGGGATCTATAGGGCATACTTCAAGGGTCCTTAAAAGGGTAAAGGTGAGGGTTCATGTGCCAGATTTCAGGGCTTTGGAGTTATGCCGGTTCCTCAGCAGCACCCTGGCCTCATGGTCCCTTTATCTTCGGGCTCCTTTATTGCCTTATTAAAGCTGAATACCAGGAAAAAGGGTACCCTTTTTATTACGTGTAGGTTTTGGGGACGCATCATCGGAGTTGAAGTATGCAGAGCTTACAGCGCAATGTTTCTGTAGGGGTTGGGTAAGTAGATAAACGAACAAAGGCCCACTGAATCGATAGCCTTTCTTAATACATATACATGTACACATCTACAGCACGCATACATATATGTATATATATATATATATACATATATGCCTACCTTACCGAGTAGCAAGCTATGACTAAGAGTTCGCTGCTCGAGTTTCGAGATCTGCCGGACAAGGCAGCCCCTGATTCCCGTGCCCTGAGTCACCTGTTTCAGTTCCCGAGCATTTTGGCCAAGAAGGTGTCGATCTTGCGGAGCAGGCAGATGTTGCGATCTCAGAAGGACGACAGAAATGGAGACAGGGAGAGAGGGGGATATGACAGCTCGGAATATAGACTTGCTCTGGGGGAAGTCAGCAATGATTTAGGCTTTCGCACAACTTAGCGCAACTTCGAACTCATGGGTGTGAATGCGAATGCTTTGAATCTGGGTCTCGAGTCGTAGGGTCTGGTGGGGTGGGAGACTGTGCACGCCATCGATTGACGGTCGAAAGTGGGAGAAGTGTCGGAGGATCGTATCGTATGCTTCTTTTGTGATTGCTGACGCCGCTAACTAAGGTTTTTGTTGGCCCCGATTGCCGGAGCATGCATTGCATAGCAGTGCTAGAATCGGCTTCCGGGTGCAGCAATGACCGTAGCATAGAGGCGCCTGGAAGACAGTGCAGAAACCCTGAACCCTAAACCCCTCCATGAGAAGAAACGTAAAGGTGCCTCCGGGCCTTGGAAAGGAAGTCATCCATATCTACACCAGGAACCGACGTTCAGTCTCCATTGTGGCACTGTTTTCGGGGTTTCCGAAAGATTCTCAATATAACACTGGCCATGGAGACTGTAGATAAACTCTAGACACCAAATTCTAAACCCTAGGAGCGGGCCCAACTACGTGGGTTTAGGGTTTAGGGTTTAGGGTTGCGTAGTCCAGGTGTAAAAGGGTTTAGGGTTGAGTCGGAGCAGAGCCTGGGTTCAAAAAAAGGGTTTAGGGTTCAGGGTTTAGCCAAAGAAATTTCGGGTGTGGAGAACTCTGAGGCGGAGTCTGCGGAAGATGAGGAGGATGTTGCAGAGCGGCGTCCTCATTTTGCTTGGGGTTTTGGGATTTCGGGTTAAGGGTTTTGGGGGTTTTATGTTGTATGGTTTAGGGCCTTGGGCGTTTAAAGTTTAGGACTTTTGGGGAATTGAAAGGCTTTCGTAGATGTTTGTGAAGTATTTGGTGAACTTCGTAGGGGTTGACACATTGCTACCAGGTGTTCCAAGGCTTTGTTTGGATGCTTCGTGGGTGTTTCGTAGGGACGCTACACGTTTGTGAGCGGCTTTGTTCTCGAAAATTTGGAACAAACCCTAAACCCTAAACCCTAAACCCTAAACCCCATTATAGGTTCATTTGGAAGCCTCCCTACTGACCTGACCCGGGGGATCCATATACGCTTGTGCAGTTGTGCGCTATGCGTTCCGGCCCCCTCGTGCTTGGGGTCGGAGTAACTACCAAGATTGTTCCTTAGGGTTCCTTTCCATTAGCATAGTAGAATACACACCACAACCCGATTCTACTGATTAAGGCCCCTAAACCCTCAACCCCTGATTAAGGCCCTTATCTTCCCCGAGCCATAGCCTGAGCCTGAAGGCTACCTATGAACAGCCAAGGCGGCTGAAGCAGCGAAAGCGGCCGATCAGTTACGAGGAGGAGATGTTCTGAGCCTTTACTTAGAGCCATAGCTCGGGTCTGTCTGGGTATCAAATCATCTTCGGGCCTGCTCTACAAACTAGTCGCAACAGATCTGATATGCTGTCTTGGAGTGTATGGGGGAGCACCTGGAAAATCCAACCTCCACGGGCCCTCAACGAGCGCATCGCGTTGCAGTGCCCTCAGACCCCTGGCTGTACAGTTCGGGCGCTTGGAAAATCCGAGACGTCTGCTTCGGAGTTCCAGGGTTGAGGAGCAAGGCGTTTTCGGCAATGTTGTGTTTGGGACGTGACGCTTTTTTCCTTGTAGTTGGATGCTTGGTTCAGCTGGCGCTCCTTTTTCTAGCGTGGGCCCCAGGATGGCTAGGATAACTCCGTGTGGTGCTACAGAACTTGCTACCATCAGTTGCCAGACATGCGATACACAACTCCTACTACCACTAGACAACTACTTCAAGTACGATAGAGACAGTAGTCGTTGTTCTGACATGTGGCTTGCGGGTTGCCATGTGCAGTGGTTTCGGGCTATCAGGGTTCATTGTGTAGGACCTCGTGAATGTCGGAAACCCAGAGTCATCGTTTGAGTTTGAGAAAATGCTTCACACCCTTCCTTATTGTCATTACCCCATTTTGTGGGGGTGTTCGCAAGTGCAGCCAAATTTCACGCACAATTCGCTGAACAACCGGTGGTCTGGCAATTATTGTCAGAGCTTCAGATCGAAAGCAGATCCAAAACTAGCAAGGTATTGTATTGGCTAGGTTCCCCAGTAGTGCCCTTTTGCCCCTTTTCTTTTTGGGTTCCCTTATCAAGACCAAATAGTAGGACAAGGGGTACCCTTATTATTACGGGGCTACTGGGGAACCTAGTTGGGGGGGAAGCAGGATTCCCTTCCAGGCAGCCTTCCTCACGAATTCCAAGCCCTGACTTTCCTGAGACATGCTACGCCCTGGCGGCCTAGGTGAATACTCAGAGCAGGAAGGGTTTCGGTGGGTTCAGAATTCCTTTCTCAACTCTTCCCTCATGCAGCGTTTGGTTCCAAGCGGCGGTTGAGCAAACGTTGTGAAGCCCATGGCGTTTCGCCGTTTGAGCAGTCAGCCGGCACTTCTAGACATGCTGGGTTCAAGCGTTCAAGCATCTTACAGTTCGGGGCATCAAATTTTCAGGTAATGTGTTGAGGCCCAGAGGGAGAGGAGGGAGAGAGCGAGGGACGGAGGGATTGGAGGGAGGAAGGATGGAGGGAGGGAAGGGGGTAGGTTCAGGTTCTACCGGCCCCCGGCCAAGCTGAAGTAAGTAGCATTTCAACAGCACGCCCCTTTCCCGTTCGGGGGAGTCGTACTTCCATACGACACAGATGATATAGTGTTTTGGGTTTAGTGTTTGAGATGAGTTCACGGTTCAGTTTGGATCCACGCGGATGAGGTATGTCAGAATCGAAACGTTCCTCAGGCAACGTCCGTCGCTCGGCCGCTGTCTCAGCAGCGGAGCAGCTGTTGCTTGGCAGCAATTTAGCAACGTTTAGGCTGATCGACCTGGATGATTGATGAAAGCTTTCGGGTTTGTTCAGGATATTTGCTTGGCGAGCTTCTGTGTTTCGCGCCCTGCCCCCCCCCCCCCACTTGCTAGCCAGCTGTTCTGACGTAATCTGTCACCGTGTCAGAAACATTGTGGGCTACATTGGACTTGGCTTGACCGGGCATCGGCCGTTTTGTGTGACATCTTCGACACGGAGGCGCCTTAACACTTTACCCATGAGCCGCAGTCCTAAGCCCTAAGCTCAAACAGAATGAACGGTTCCAGCTGCGAGGGAGCGCACAACCATGGCAACGCGTGTGCGAAGCTCTATGAACAAGCATGCCAGTGCATACATGGATGCAGCAAAGCAATTTCATGAGCCCTCGACGCTGACAGCAGGACGGTTGTAAATGTTCTCTATGAAGAAGCAGTGGTTCTTGAGAAGGGCATTGCATGGACAGAGAGACAGCATGGACCTTCGCCATGTCAAGGAAGATGGTCGGTGTTGGCTTCGGTACAACCGGGAAGTTGAGCATGTTGGCCAGTTGCTTTCATCTCATAGGCCTGGCTTCTGCGAGCGAGGGTGGAAGGGAGCCACTTTGCCACGAGAGCTTCCGCAGCTTGGAGAAATGCCTCCAGAATGACTACAACCGGCTACGCGTGGCCTGTAGCCGGCACTACGAGGGCCTGCAGGCCTGTCTGACGAGAGACTGGAGGTACGTAGATGAGGGCAGAGCCTTCCCTCGGCCTGAGGGGGGCTTCAATCGCCTTCGGCAGTGCCGGCATGGTGTGATGCTCTTCAACCCACTAGACTGGTACATCGGCCGTTCCCTGGAGGTTTATGGAGAGTGGGGGCAGAAGAAGGTGGACTTCTTCCGAAAATAATGGGTACCTTATTTTGGGGTCCTTATAATAAGGATCCTACGATTTAGGGTACTATATCAGGGTCCTCTATTTTCGGAAACCCCCAGGTGGCCTTAGATTGGGGTCCTTATAATAAGGATCCTACTATTTAGGGTACTCTATCAGGGTCCTCTATTTTCGGAAAACTCCAGGTGGCCTTAGTTTGGGGTCCTGATAATAAGGATCCTACTATTTAGGGTGCTATATCAGGGTCCTCAATTTTCGGAAACCCCCAGGTGGCCTTAGATTGGGGTCCTTATAATAAGGATCCTACTATTTAGGGTACTATATGGGTAGTTGTCAAAATTATGGTCCCTTTTGGGGTACCCTAAATAATAGGTGCCCTATTTGTAATAAGGACCCCAAAAGGGACCATAATTTCGACAACCACCCATATCAGGGTCCTCTATTTTTCGGAAACCCCGCAGGTGGACATCTTCTCCAAGTTCTTGCGTCCCGGCCAGGTGGTCGTGGAGGTCGGCGCTCACGTGGGTGCCCTCACTTTGGCACTGTCTCTTAGTAGCTGGGTGAGTACACTTTACACTTTTTGGGATTATATGATTCCTTGTAGAACTGAAGGTGTGCACTTTTTGGGGCTTATGAACTCAGCAACTAAGGTCTCGATTAGTCGGACCTGCGGGCCGCGTCATTGCACTTGAGCCCTTCTACTCCTCTTTTGCAGCTCTGGCTGCTAACACCGCCCTGAACTCCTTGGAGAATGTGGAGGTGAGGCAGGCCGTGGTGGCGGACCGGCCCGGGAAAGTCTTCATGGATCGGGGGGAACTCGCATTTAAGCAGCAGGAGTTCTTTAACTTCGGATCGATGGACTTCCACGAGCTGGAAATTCACGATGCCCTGACGCAGACAGACCGGCAGTCTACTGCCTGGGATGAGTACGCGGTTCTTACGCTGGAGCAGCTGCTTAGTTCTCCAATGCCCAACCTTTATACTTTTGGGGTTCTTATAATTCAGTAGTAATCTGAAGGTTTAACCTTTTATTTCCTTGGCTTTTTGGGGGAGTAAGGCTGTCCCTTCCCAAGTTGGACTTCCTGAAGATCCTGGGCCGCTTTTGAGAAGTCGGTGTAGCGCATGTTAGTTGGGAAAGAGTGCCCTACCCATTGGCTCCATTGCGGCTCCTTGTCGGGATTAGCTTATAGGATCCTAAATTCTAAAGGGAACTGTCATGGAGCCTATAGGTAGACCCAACCCCAAGTTGAGTTTTGGGTTGGGCCGCCAAGATCAGCTCAGGATTGATGCTGAGGCCATGGAGTCTGCAGTGATCAAAGGCGCGCTGCCGCTGCTGCGGAAGTTCCGGCCACTGCTCTTCATCGAGCCTTTGTATGGCTTGGAGTGTGTTAAGAGTCCTTTTTGACTGCTTGCCTTACTTTAGCCTCTAAAAACCCTAAACCCTAAACCCTAAAACCCTAAAGCCCTAAACCCATACCTGAATCGTAAAGGAGCCCAAGAGGAACCAAGGAGTATCGGAACCCTAAGCAGAAGAACTCCGAGCTGCTTCGTGCCCTCAAGAAGAGCAAATACGACTGCGTGCTCCTCCGGCTGCCGATCTTCAATTCCCAGAACTACCGGGGCCACGAGGAGGATATCTGGGGAGAGAAGGGCTCCGTCGTGAATTTTGACCTCTTCTGCAAGCGCGAGGGGCACGAGTCTTCCTTAAGTGCGCCGGTGCTGGAGCTGTTCAGAACCGCCGTCGCCACGGATGTTTCAGGACTGCGCACTACACCCAGAGATGCCTTCGAGATAATGAGCCGGGCCGAAGATCTGAAGACGGGGGGGCGACCAGAACGCCTTGAAAGCGAGCAGAATCCCACAGCACAGCCGAGAGCACGGCTGTCGCGCAAAGAGGTCGAAGAAATGAATTTAGATGAGCTGTTGGACAGCATGGAGGCCAGCGAGCGGGGCACGGTGCCCAAAGGTCAAAGAGCATCAGCAACCCACTCAGATACTTGGCAGTAGAGTAGGTAGCAGCAACCTTTAAACTCTTTGGGGTATCTGTACTCCCTATGTCATCCCCAAGGATAAGCTTTAGTTAGGAGACCAGCTGAACCCTAAATGCTAAACCCTAAACCCCTAAACCCTATAAGCCCCATAAGCCCTCTAACCCCTAAACCCCTAAACCCTAAACCCTAGACCCTATAAACCCTAAACCCCCAAATAAGGATACGGAGATGAGCTTGAAACTTCTGCTTGAGGATCCCTCAGGCCAGCCCACGACACGCACTGTCCAGGAGGAGCTGACCTTGGACGACTTGTGACCCAAAGAGTGGGGAAAAAGCCGAAGGCTTAGTATAGGGGTTCAGGATTTCGGACTTACTGTATGGGTATAGGATCTAAAGATGATTTATGGGTTTAGGGTACGGTTTAGGTTTATTTGGGTTTAGGGTACTGGGGTTCTAGGGCCGATTTGTGGTTTAAATTAGGATCCGAAAAGGTAGTCCCAAAAAGGAACCACAATGGAGCCTATAGGTAAGCTGTAAGCCAGCCCCGAGGCCCCACCAGCCCTGAACCAGAAAGCGCTTGGGTAGTTCTCCAAATTAGGGTCCTTTTTCAGGTCCCCAAAATGGTAGAAAGGACCCTAAACCCTAAACCCTCTTTAAGAAGATAAGAGAGGACCCCTGAGAAGGTAGCCCAATTGAGAGAACTACCCTTATAGTACGTACCCTTATAGAAACCTATACAAACCCTTATAACCGATCCCTTCAAGGAACCCTCACAGGAACCCTAGTTCTCTACCCATTTCCACAAAGCTCCCGCCAGGGCACAGAGCCTCAGGAGTTGGAACTCGAGTTCGAAGCTTCAGTTTTGAACTTCAGGGGATTAGGCCCAAGAAGTTGGAAACCGGATGAAGGACAAATAGTGCTGGGATTCCCTATGCGCTCTTCTTAAGGATTGAGGCTGTTTTTTGCTTGTGCTATAGGATTCGGGGTTTAGGATTCGGGGGTTTGGGGTTTGGGCTTCGGGGTTTCTCGACTCAGGGATTAGGATTCGAGGTTTGGGATTATAGGGGCTTAGGGTTTAGGGGTTTGGGGGTTTGTGTTCAGTTGACACCCCTTCGCCCTGCACGTCTGCCCCCTCAGCCTCAATCCATGCAGCATTTTAGCTCAAGTCGCGAACCTACCCAACTTCTTGCCCCAAAGCTGCAGCCAATCCTGATGCCATACGCCTAAACCTGGACCTGGAAGCGGTTTAGGGCTTATAGGCACTGCTCTTTTTGAGTTGGCTTTATGGCATGTGACACCTTCGGTCGAAGGGAAATGCTCTAAGCCCCGTCCTGGCGCCAAGCCGCGAACCCAGGGTTGCCACATGTCGATTACTGTGGAAGTTGGACTTCTTATTAGGGGCAAGAAAGCTTCCAATGGACGCAGGCTGGGAAGAAGAAGTTGGATTACTGAGGCGTCGGGCACACGCTGCACTTGGAGTCGTCAGCAGAGGGCGGCTGGTGGACTCATCTGGAAGCGTTGTGGGCCCATCTGCACTTATTAAGGGTGCCGGTGTGCAGCACGGTGATTGGTTGACCTTGCACGCAAACTCGAGTTCAAGTGCGTGCCAAGAATGCGGCTTTTGCTGTCACCCTTGGCGATGGATCTGTCGCGACCTGGCGTGAACCCAGGTTCAGCTGCGGAATGTGAAGCAGATTCAGGCCGCTGACTAGGCTTTTGCTGCTATGCTTGGTGATGGATCTGTCGTCACCTGGGGTGATGCTGCCAAGGGTGGTGACAATAGTGCTGTACAGAATCAGCTGAGGAATGTGCAGCAGATCCACAAGTCTAAGTACGCTGTTGCTGCCATTCCTGGTGACGGATCTGTCGTCACCTGGGGATATGATCGCTTTGGTGGTGACAGTCGCGCTGTACAGGTTCAGCAGAAGAACGCGCAGCAGATCCAAGAAACTTTTTGCCGCTTGGGCTGCCATTCTTCGTGATGGTTCCATCGTGACCTGGAGAAGGGATGCCTATGGTGGTGCAGTAGTGCTGTGTGCGATCACCTGAAGAACGTGCAGGAAATTTCAGCCTCGCACCATGCTTTTGCTGCCAGTCTTGCGGATGAATCTGTCGTGACATGGGGATCTTCGCGCTGCGGTGGTGACAGCCGTGCTGTGCGGGATCAGCTCCCGACCCCAAGATTGGCTTGAAACATGTCGTGAAGAACGGGCAGCTATTATTGCACGAAATCGTGAAGGGAGGCCTCGTGGATCAACACAATGAACCGATGCTCCGACAGGCTCTGCCACCTTCGGCAAGTCGTGAAGGAGGACCAGATCTGCTCGGTCAGCGGTAGTGGATGTGATGAAAACAGGAACGATTTCGAAACACTTCGGCGACACCAGTTCCCGAAAGTCCAGCACGGTCGTGTAATGTGGAAGCAATGTAAGTTGCGTTGGGTGTACCCTTGCAGAAGATGGCACATGTTACAATTACAGCCGTATAATGTGAGACTAAGAGGTATGTAGAAGTACTTGCTTTCCGTCCCGTAGTTCATTGGAGCCTCTGCGAGTGCGTGGCGCAGCAAACTCGATCGCATGACCTGTAGGGTTCACGGTTTACTGCATGCACACTTGGTCACTTGATCTGGCATATTCAGTACCGTTGTTGCCAAGACTATGGCGTCTTGGGTTTTGGGCGTGTAAAGCAGCATTTTAAACACGTAGTCCTGAAATCTAGTCCTTTACTAGTGGTACGATATAAATCCTGCATTACCCACAGTTACGGATGTACCATAATTCCCGTAGATTAAGGTTTTTAAGGTAATGCAGGATTTATATTACCCAGAGTATCTCAAGAGTTTATGTTTGTCGACTGGCTTGGCATCTCAGTTTCAGAGTCTCTTTGGTGGTCGTTTGGACTCGGGGTGAACAGCAAGTCACGAAGTAGGTCCATGTACCCGGAATGCCCCAAACCCAAAGCCCCTAAGCCCTAAGCCCCTAAGCCCTAAGCCCCTTAACCCTAAGCCCTTAAACCCTGAAGCCCTAAACCCCAAACGACTCAGATCCGCACCATCCTCCTGCTTCAGCCTGTCCGGAAGTCCAGAACTTGATGCCGCCAAGCCAACACCTCAAGCACCACCAGCCCTAAACTTGGGCTAATATTGGGACCGTGATACTTACCTATACTATTTTGGGGCTCATCAGCATGATTATGGAATTATAGTAGAATTATTAAAGCCCCTGCATTAAGGATGAGGGATTTAGGATTTAGGTTCATGTTCTGGCAGTCACCAAGTCCGGTTTCAAAAAAGGTTCGTGTTCTGGCAGCCAGCGAGCCCAATCTCAACAAAGGCTTCCGGACCGTAAACCAGAGTCCTCTTGCAGAGCCCCTTTGTCAACACATCCGGCCGAAGACAACTCACCATTAGATGCAGACTCCTTGAAGGAACACGTATAGAAACCTCATGAAACCCTAGTTAACCCTTGACGAAATAGCTTTCTGAATCCCGATAAAACTTTACGACGGTCTTTGCAAAACCCTCTAAAATCCCGGTATGAAACCCTTATGTAACTCGAGCAACCGTTGCGTAAGCTGCTTGTCACGTAACCCCTAAACCCATGCAACCTCCCCCAGCTGTTGAGATGAAGTGGGTCGTCGAGTCCTGTTGTCGATTGATGTATGTGTAGCTGTGATCTAATTTGGTGCAAACTCTGTTGTCTCCTTACCAACCTCGCCTATGAGCATAGTTCTCTGCCATGCGAGAGGGAAAATGCAGCCTCCCGCAAAGGCAGCGAGGATTTGAAGGAGCTGCCTTACCATTCTCGCAGATTCCCGGGCCGCCACTTCGAGACACTTGAGGTTTGGCATGTTTAGGTAGAGGTGAGGTTGCAGGGTTCCTTTGAGGGCTCGCTGAGGGGTTCTATGAGGGATTCGGCTTAGGTCTGTCAACAGGGTCCATGAATACCTCCAGTATGGACTTAGGCCGTAGACCCATAGTAAAAACGGTCTTCCGTGACCCAAATCCATAATGGTCTTATAGATGGACCCTCTGGCTTGGGCTTCCTTTAACGGCCCTACACTTCCCTGAAGGCTTCTACGAGGGATTAGATGATTATGAGTTAGTGTAGGGTATATAGGGGTGTAAGGATAGGGGTGTAAGGTTGTGGGTACGGGGCTTGGCTTTTGCTTTGGGCCGATGCCTAACTACTTGAGATATTGGCCTTCAGGGGCGTTCTTCGCTTCAGAATCTGATGATTAACAGCAGTGGTTCCTCACACCCCCCCCCCCCCCCCCCC